GCAGAGAATGCCCATGGGCTGTGCCCAGTCCTCATACTTCTTGCATGTTGCAATGCATCGTGTTCTCGGGGACATCCCCGGTGTATCTATTTACGCCGACGATGTGTTGCTGACGAGTGCAGATGTCGATAGCCACCTGAAGCTTCTCCATACAGTACTAGATAGGTTGAGCCAGGCGGGCCTGAAATTAGCGCCCAGCAAATGTCGCATAGGCATGCAAAAGCTTTCTTACTTGGGACATTTGATTACACCCGAAGGCGTGTCAATTGACCCAGACAGAGTGAAATGCATTCAGGAGCTCAAGCCTCCCACCACTGTGAAGGAGGCGAAACGTATATACGGCTTTTTTGCATGGTTCAGGAAATTCATCCCATCTTTTTCGGACACTTCGGCGCCTCTGATTCGTCTAGCGAACTCATCATCGTTTTACTGGGATCGCGAACTAGAGGCGGCATTTGATTCATTGCGTACATGTTTGTTATCGGGCCGAGTACTGGCCTACCCAACGCGTGACGATCCGTTTGTCCTCTATACAGACAGTAGCACGGTCGGGTCGGGTCAAGTCTTGTGTCAAGTCCAAGGTGGAGTGGAAAGAGTTATCGCATTCAACGGCAGTAAATATAACAAAATGCAGTCAAAGTGGACGATTTACGAACTTGAACTTTTCAGCTTTATCACAGGCCTAAAGAAATTTTATAAATACCTTGCGGGCGCCGATTTTACATGGGTCTGTGATTGCAAGAGTGCGCTTAAAATACTACAAAACAAAGATGATGTGAACCCGCGTATAGTCAGGTGGAGAGCTTATGTCAGCCAATTCCATTTTCGGGCCGAACATCGACCAGCAGCGTGCATGCAGCACGTGGACATGCTGTCGAGGATTCCTGAGAGCCAGCCTGGGTCTGGTTCGGGCTCCGGCGGGGGTGGCGACAGTTCGCTTGATGGTACCACAGTCGTGGCGGCTCCGGTCGGTGGCGCTGGCTCAGTTGCCGGGACCGTGCTCGGGTGTGACGGCGCTCGGCGCCCGCCGCCACCGGCGCGCGGAGGTGGCGGCGATCGCGCCGGACTGACGGGGCGCCGGATCCCGTCCGGGCCGCGGCCGCCGGATTCGAGCGGCTCGCACGATGGGCTGGGGTCGCACGGGTTCCGGCCCGTACCGCCGGCGTCGGGTCTGCCATCGGGGCAGTGCGGCCCGTCTTCGGAGCGGGTGACGGGAGGATGTCAGCAGGGTGTCGCTTCCGGTAAGACGGGTGAACGAGTGAATGCGGTTAGCATAGACGGGACACGGTTATCACTGGATCCAGACTCAATCCGGTGGTACCAGAAACATGACAGGGATTGTCGTGCTCTGGTGCATCGTCTGAAGCACCAGAAATGGCCGAAATTCTGTTCACCTACTCTAAAAAAACAGGATGTTACAAATTTTATGTTCCGTGATGGCATTCTTTTTTATAAAGACATTACGCGCGCAACGCTCAAGGTCGTGTGGCCCAGAGCAAAAAGGTATGAAATTCTCCGCCATAATCACGACTCGTCGCACCACGGACACTGTGGTGACCAGAAACTCTTTGAGAAAGTGTCCAGGGACGTGTGGTACCTTGGTCTGAGACGTGATTGCGAGAATTACGTCGCCAGCTGCGAGCGGTGCAGTCAGCGGAAAGACGACCGGGGACCGCCCGCGCCACCACTTCTGCCTCAGGATCCGTGCGGCCCGGGGGAGGTGTTAGTGGTGGACGTGATGCATATGCCGAACAGCCGGTTGACTGGCAGAACATTGGTGCTAACATGTGTTGATAAATTTACTGGTTTTCTCTCTCACTATCCGTTAGAGTCTGGATCCGCAGAGCACATCGTAGATGCTCTGAATAAGCACTTTTTGACTTTTGGACCGCCCCAACGTATCGAAACGGACGCAGGGACAAACTTCACAGGTCACAAAATGGCAGAATTTTGTAGCTTCTGGGGAGTACATGTCAGAAGTGGCGTAGGTTTTCACCACGAAGCAATAGGTAAGATCGAGAGACGGCACCGGGATATCAAGCGTCGCCTGCGCGCCCTCACCGACAGCCATGGTGCAGACTGGGAAAATCACTTACACGCTATTGTTTTTTTCTTTGAATAACGAAGTCTGTGCATCCCATGGATTTTCCCCTTATTTTCTCTATTTCATGCGGCATACAAACACACCCATATCTCATCTCACCGCGCAAGCAGTGCCGAAATATACCGATGATTTTGTCCATGAAACGCTGCGTCTACTGTCGGACACGTTACGCACCGCACACAATAGGCTGCGTGAGACACAAACAAGCATGAAACGTGCGTACGACTTACGTCATCGCGCACGTGAGCCGGCTGTCAAACCGGGCGATCAGGTTTTGTTGCGACGTTTTGATAGCCCTTCGGGTGTGTCGCGAAAGATGGTGGCTCCCTGGTCACCAATCTACATAATGACGAAACGCCTTAGCAGGCGTCATGTAGAATGTCTCGACCCACGAACAGGCAAAACACGGCGGACACATATCAGGTATGTTAAGCCGGTGGTGGGGCGAGACGTGTAGGCACCTGAATGTACATAGGCATTGCGTCGTGAGGCGGGATGTGCGAATTAGCACGTGCGTGTGTGTGTTTGGGAATATTGAAGTGACGTGACGGGTTACGGACATGTTGTTTCGTTTCATGTATGTTTTTTTTGCGCGGAGGGAGGAAATGTGAGGGGAGGAAATGTGAGCCTCCCCCGTTTGCTCCCCTCGAGGTGCCTATGCGGCTGTGGCTGGGGGCGCCACTGCTCCGCCGCAGGCGGGTCAGGTCAGACGGAAAATACAGTCGGTAACTGGCTACGGTCGTGTTCGGACGGGGCGCGTGTCCCGTATCGCCGGTGCGCGCATGGAGTGCACGGCGCGTTCCAGCGTTACAGTTGGTCATTGGGTGACCTTCCATAGGTCAATAACAACTGCCGAGTAAATCGGGTCCTGCTGTAACTTTTTGAAGTGAGATTTTGTGGCCTGCCATGATCTCAAGAAAGATCCCACAAATCAACGGTTATTCGGGTATTGGCGTTTTCACATGCCATTTTCAGTGGTCATGCCATTTTCAGGACAGATAAAAATGATCGGCTCGATGGTACAGTTTTTTCGTAATCCGACCCTTTTAACGTGATCTATTCCCGAAAAATACCCGCTACCCCTATACGTATGGGGGTTAACCCGCGCCCCGCTGGGGCTCCTGGATTTCCACGCCCTGCTGGAGGTGGAGGTTGAACACCCCGTACTAACTTGGCTCCTGGGTCACTAGCGAAACGCCGTAGTCGGCGATCGAAAGAGCGTAAGAAATGATGAAGAAAAAAAATAATGGTCACTTTTTAGGTCAAATCAAAGGTCAGGTCACCAGAGGTCATCGAACGTAAAATTTCGCCAATTTCCAGGTCAACCTTTGACAGTTTTCGACAAACTGGCCTATAGCTCAGGAAAGGATAGAGCTACAGCGCTGCGGAAAAACGCATTCGATAGCTCTCTTTAACGTTTTTTTCTGATGCCTGCCCTCAGATTCAACCGAAGATTAACGGTTTAGCCTGCAGGAGACAAAAACTGCCAAAATGTACGTTGCTTGCTGATAGTTTTTCTTAAATAACTTGTCACTCAAAACTTGCAGGAGCTCACTTTTATCAGCATCGTGATCCTCCCGTCGAGAAACATCGAAGGTTTTGTTTTGTTGCACATCAGTCGATCCGTATCGTCGAGCTGAACACATCTAAGGCATTTTCATCGCTCTGGCATGCCTTTATCAAAAGTTATTAGCGAAAAGCTGTTAGATACCATTCATGACCTGAAATGACCTCAGGGACATACAGCGGGGTTACGGGTGCAATTTTCCGGTTCAGCGGTCATGTTTAGGTACTTGTAAATAAGAGTGTCACAGTGTTAGGAATGACACTGGTCCAAAAGAGGCGCCTTTCAATTTTCTACCATTTACTTTGCGCCCTCTCCCATTGATAATGGGAGAGGGTGTGAAATTGACCTTAACTTTGGTCACCGACATCAAATCTCCGAGATACAAATTTTGTACATGCTGTCGCCTTTATCAATTCCTGAAAGTTTGAAAGAGACCTGTCACTCAATGCAGCTAAAGCAGGCGTTAGTCTTTAGACGTGACCTCACTGATCTGGTGACCTGACCTTGAGTGACTTTGGTCTGAAATATTCACAACATCTGCAGAAACGATGTATGATCAATTGTTCCAAAATGGTGGCGCTCCGTGCCAACGTTTTTGAGATAGTTGCGAGAAACCGCAGGGGAGGGGGCCTGCGGTTTCTCGCAGATATGGTACCCAAAGAGTCACGGAAAAGTATGGAATTTCAGTAACCGTGGTTGTATCAGCAATGGGGTCTGGTAGGTGGGGGTAATGGCCCTGCCTGGCGCCAAAAAAGGGGGCACGACCCCGGAGGACCTGCCGACCACTGGTCTAGGGTGATCGTTGAGCCGTAAAAGCTCCTGATTTGTGCTAGTCTCAGCTCAAGCTACGAAACTGCTATTTCAACTCAAAACCCCATGTTAAAAGTGAACTATTTCCTTTAATTCTAGCCAAAATCACGCGGCGCTGCCAGGATTCGAACTCACGACCCTCGGATCCGTAGCCCGGTACGCTACCGACTGCGCTACCGAGGACCGCGAACCGACGATCGGAGAGGCGAATCGCGGGTGCTGGCGTGCAGAGAAATTTTTACCCTGTACGCCGTAGAAGCTCGGCTGGGTTTCGTGAAAAATGGTAGAGGAATTGTCGAAAGAAAATTCATCGATCTATCATTTGAGACTAAGAACCATTGATTCCTTCAAAGGTTGACCGAGATATCGCTCGCCGAAAACAGGCCATTTAACATGTAAGTAAACCCTATGGGCTGGTAGGAAATGTACGCCGTGGAGCAGCAGTGCTACCAACTAACTTCGGCGGGGGCCGTATTGGCTGAGCAGAGCACAGTGGAGTACAGATCGCAGCGCGCTTACCTGGGCGCCCACGTGGCCGCGCCGCAGTCGGCCGATGTCCGTGTGCGACCACGGACTGGAAGCCCACGGCTCGGCGGCGCGCAGGTCGGCGCTAAAGTTAAATATCCGTAAGTTATTGTGCACAAACTTGCGAATGTTCCACGGTAGATCGTTGTGCCTGAAACATAAAACAAAGAGACGGGTGTCAGCAACTTTCCAGTTATATTCTGCTGTTATTTTCAGGTGCTTTCATGTTACGCCCATATAGCACTGTAAAGAAAAAGAGGGGAAGGGAAAACTATAGATACCTAATAGTCGTTTTCACGACGGTCTAACCGGCGAATACACCTAATTTGACCAAATCTGCACCAAACCTCTTTTACAACAAATATCTTCATAATGTGAATTTATTTCAGGGTTTTAATTAACCCGCGCCCTGCTGGGGGGGTGTTTGAACACCCCCTTGTGGTTTTTCGCGAATATCTCAAAAACGGCGGCGCGGAGCGCCGCCGTTTTTAGTACACCTTATCATACATCAATTCTACACATGTTGTGAAAATTTCAGACCAAGGTCATTCAAGGTCAGGTCAACAGGTCACTTGAAGTGACCTCACCTCATAAAAACTTTCAATGTCTGTCATAGCTACACCGAGTGACCGATCGCTTTGAAACTTTCAGCGATTGCTAAGAGCAATAGCATGTACAAAATGTATATCTCATAATTTTGATATCGATGACCTAAGGTCAGGTCAATTTTGCGACCTCCCCATTGTAAGTCAATGGGAGAAAATTGAAATGCGCCTCGTTTGGATGAAAGACATTATAAACACTCCCAAACACCGAATTACAAGTGGTTTAGACACACTGAACTTGAAAATGGTGTCCGTGACCCTTGTTTATGCCCTGAGGTCATCTTAGGTCACGAATGGTATCTAACGGTTTTTCGTAAATAACTTTTGATAGAGGCATGCTAGAGCGATGAAAACGCCTTTGATGTGTTCAGCTCGACGATACGGATCGACTGATATGCAACATGACCCTTTCCGGTCAGGTCATGACCTTGACCTGAGGTCAAATTTTCAAGTTGACCTTTCAAGGTCAAGTTATAGTTCAATCGATGCGTCTTGACGAGAGGAACACGATGCCGGTAAAAGTAAGCTCGTACAAGGCTTGGGTCAAAAGTTATTGCAGAAAAACTGTTTTCGAAAAAATCGGCTATTTTTGCAGTTTTTGCCCCCTGCAGGCAAAACCGTTGACGTTAGGTCAAATCTGAGAGAATTACTCAGAAAGGGCGTTAATAGGGCTATCGAATGCGCTTTTCCGCGGCGCTGTAGCTCTATTGGTTCCCGAGTTATGCGTTGGCTTCTTGGATTTTTGATATTCGACCTGGAAATCGGCGAAATTTTGCCTTCAATGACCTCTGGTGACCTGACCTTTGACCTGACCAAAAAATTGACTGAAGTGATTTCGTCATTATTTTTTACGCTCTTTCGAACGCCGCCTTCCGCGTATCGCTACGTGGCCCAGGAGCCGAGTTACAAGGGGGGGGGGTGTTCAAACACCCCCCCCCCCAGCAGGGCGTGGAAATCCAGGACCCCCAGCAGGGCGCGGGTTAAAAGAATAATGTCTGGTAATTTGAAAACAATGAGGTCTATGAGCATCTATGCAAACCCAGCCGACGTTTTTTTAGGAACACAATAAACCAAATTTGACCAAATCTGCACCTAATCTTCACCAAATGTACACCAGATGGCCGTTGTGAAAACGGCTAATATTACCCCCGCATTTCTAATCGGTCAGGTGAAACTACCCTGCGGTTTTCGTAAATCATTCGTGCAAAAAGCGGCCAATCACGACGTAACTTCGAGTACACTCGAGTTTAACAATTTTACACATCCTCTAAAATTGCATGGCCCTGACCCCAAAGAACTTTCACCTGTAACCTATTTCTCTAGACCACGTCAGACCGGAATCGTGGTTTAGCATATGTCGGTGCACATTATCCGTGCGCTTCCATACCTTTTGTGATAAAAAACGTGCCAATATGTGAAATGTTTGTCCCATACATTATGGTGGATGTCAAGGTCACGTTAAGGTCAGACCAAGGTCATTGACCTTACATGACCTTGGTTTACTTTTTCGAGTTAAACATGTTTCTAAAGGTTTTTGGAGCTGATTTCGAGTCTAGCACCCATTAAGCATTTAAGAAGTACAGGGTGCACCGAAATTATCCGGACATCTTTGCTCCCGCTGGAATTAGAAAACAAAACAAATAGGTGCTTTTCCTTTTGAATGACGATACAGCCACGCTTCATGCGACCACATTTACCGCGATGCGCTGGAGCCAATTCTACCGACTGGGTTCTGCAGCCACACTGGGTTTGGTGTGGACGGACGCCGTCTTGACCCGTGCCTACAGTTTGTGGAGGGTGGCTGCTTATTCAGCTCCCGTCGACATAAGTAATCCACGAATTTTCGATAGCAAGGCAGTCGGTGACATACCAGGGAAATAAACTAAAATTAGAGCGCTCTATTTATTGCTCCCGCTACTTCACCGCTTCCCATAGGGTCCTGTGTTGAGCTGGTGTCGAGGCTCTAAAAATGACGCCGATTTTTGTACCCTTCTCACGAAAACCACTCGGACCGCCTGGAAACTAATTGTTCCGCTCTAAAAATTTCATGATCGACGGGAAAATGAACGAGGAAAAGATTGGTCCTGAAATAATTCTGAACTCCCTGTAGAACATATCGAAATATGGCTGCAAACTAGGGGCATGTCAAAATCGACAAAACAATACAAATAAACATACTGGGATTTTTTTCTATTTTCCATGCATCTGTGTATGAAATCAGTGGGTTTTTCGGAAAGATCATCTTCTGTTTAATAAATAATTCCACAATTGCAATCGAGAAAAAAAAACATTTCTGCTGTGACAGCAGTTTTGGCATTGTGCCAGTAGTGTGGCGTGCGCGGTGCTGGGTGGTCGTGGGGACGTAGTTGTGAGTATTTTCGGTGTTTTAAATGGTTGATGGCCATTGGAACCAGCTTTATATTATTTCCCATCAATTTTTGCATCAAATTATTGCTTTGAAAGACCATTGAAACCCCTTATCTCTTCATGAAACGCGACCATATTCATCGTCGACGAAAATGGCGCGGGACTCGATGTGCGTTTCGATCGAAATGAATCGTAAATTAAATAATATTCGATGATAGTATCATATTCTAGTGACACATTTTCATAAAATAAGGCATAAACTTTGCAAGGAAGTCAACATTGGATAATTGGATTCTTATTTTGCTCAAATATCCTTGTAGTAGTCAAATGGCTCAATTTTTAGATAAATGTAAGTACATATATGTTTTGGCTTGATGTTTGCTGTGAAACCACCCAGCCACTATCTGGTTGAATGGTTTTCTGATAATTACCTGACAATCATTTCTCCTTTTCCTTTAAAGAAACTAAAATTCTTTTCAAAGCAACCCATTTTTAGGAAAGGCGGCTTGCTCATTGACATTTCATGTTCTTGTTTTGTTTTTGCTGGCAGTATTTTGATACCTACAATAAATGCAATATGAATTTTTTGCAATAATAAAATCTAAGACAAACCTAAGTTAATGTGTCAATCAAAATTCAAACACCCAACAGAAAGATTGTGAGTCCTTGTGACGTGAAGTAGAATATTCTATGAATGTGTTTTATAGCATATGCCAACTTTTAAAAGTAATTTATTATTTGATACTGATAGCTGAGTATGTGAATCATGCCACAATCTTATTTCATTTTCTGGTTTTGAAATAGCCTGCAGTATTTTGCATCAACAAATGCAACATACATGGAATACATGTTATGTTATGTTATGCTAAAAGTTTGATAACAGCCAACAGAAAGGGCTGTTTCAGCAGATAATGTTTGTACAGCCCACCGCTAAAGTAATGTAGGGTTTTACCAATCTCAACGGTTGGCTTTGACTGGCGATTGTTTAATGCGGAGTGATCGAAAAGAAGATGTCAATAGCTAAAGTTGCAGCAAGGGTGACGATACATATAAGCTACATTCAAAGTTTCATTGTAGTCTGGTTAATCGTTCCTAAGCTTCAGAAGCAGAACATACCCATGACTGAAACCCCACATTACTTCTGCTGTGGACTGTACCTTATGCATTACCTTTTCTTCTGCAGGACCATGCTTCCGCTGGGTGGTCGACATTTGCCTCCTGAAGAAGTTGAGCAACATGAAGACCACCAGATGAGGTGTCTGCAGTTCATGTGGAACTCAGCAGAATACAAGTGTTATGCCAACTACAACCAAAGTGCTGTGATCATGGAGGCATGAACCTCATGACACCACTTCAGATTTGCAGTTGTACCAATGTGTGATTCAAACCACCTGTGGCATCTCACTCAATGCGTGAACAGTGTGAACATTGTGCAGTGTTCAGCTGCACCTAAGACATTGATTGGTGACTTGTTTTGCAATTAGCCACCAAAAGCATTTTTTGGGCTGGCCGCTGTAATTTGTTGTGCACTGCGCAATAGTGGTAGTGTTTTGTCACTTGTCAAGTTGTCAGTTGTGTTGTGCATGTTGCATGTTTCTCTCCCCTCGGCCCTCATTATCAGTTACGTGGTGAATTGGCATCACTCAGTCTCCCCAGATCTCCATTGACTGTCAACCACCTAACTTGAGACGGTATTTGCTAATAGTATCAGAAAAGAAGTGATTGTAGACATTTTTTAGGAATAAGAGCTCCATTTCATGCATGTTCCAGTGGTCATTTTGTCGCATGTCCCTAGTGTAGGGGAAACTGTTGTTCCCTTTTGAAGGTACTCGCGGTTGCAGAAAGCGTTTTTTTTTTTTACGCCGCCACCCATTAATAGGTGACCAGGAGTGCCCCCACCCTCGAACCCAGCGACACACAGTACCCGTCCCTTACGTTAACACCAGAGAAAAAAAACAAAAAAAAACAGTGTCGCGGCACTCCTTACGATCTTAGCTTGTACGCTGGCGACTCTTTTATCATTCAGTACGCCGATGACACCCAGGTTTAAGTCTCTGGACACAAGTCCGAGCTACCTGACCTTATCTTAAAACTAGAGGCATCTCTCCAGTCGCTTGGTGATTACTTTCATTCGAACGGTCTAAAACTTAACGAGTCAAAATTCGAACTACTTCCCATC